ATCAGCGATGGGTTCAGTGCCCAGCCAGTAACTCGTGCTGCTTGCGTTGGTATACCTCAGGCGCCACTGAGACACCAAACGGGAGCTTGAGCCAGCGTTTTCCGACCCCAGGGGTTCCAGAAGGTAGTCATGAAGCGGCTTTCTTTGTCCATCTTGCGTTGAAAGAATGCATCTCGGGCGTCCACCAAGGTGAAAATCCTGGCCCTTGGGAAGCTTTGTAGAGGCATCCTTCAGTGTCGGCATGATGTAGTGGGAGCGTTTCAGTGCTTGATTCAGATGCTTTGGGTCGATGCAGACCCTCAGCTTCTCTGTTACTGATCCAGTCAGTTGGTTCAGTCACAGATGTCATGTGGCCATCGGCCTCATACTTGTCCAGCTGGGCCTTCACAGCCACTTTCATTGCAATGGGCCACATTGCGAGGATCACACCGGACTGGAGTGACGCTCTCATCCAATTCAAAGTGTACCTCCCCAGGCACTGATTCAACAGGCCTGTTGAATACATCGTCATTTCTGCTGAGTAGTTGTTCTTCGGACAGGGGTTCCATGCTGGACGTGCTCCACGGTGTGCAAGGTCATTTGGCACGGTGAACTGCGTCAGTCCCAGTCGTTCGCATGTAGAGCCTGAGAGGAGAGGATGTTGACTGGTTTTCACGATCTCAAAACTCCAGCTTGTGTTTTTATGTCCCCAGAATAACACATTCGGTCTCAAAGATGCCCATAGAGCTCATTAGCTCTCCCGAGCACAGCTTTAGTCTAGTGTCGCTGGGCAAGAGATGTGTGTCGGGTGCCAGATTGATTTTGTCTTTGTGGCTCATTACGTTGCGCGTAGCACCGGAATCCAGTTGACATTGCTGCTGCTTGTTGTGTAATCGTAGTGTCACAAACCATTTCTTCGCCTCTTGAGTTTACAGCCCCAATGGATTCATTACATGTAAATGTCACTTTCACTGTTCTTCTCTGAACACTGAGTGACATCATCAACACAGTGAATCTTACCCTCACTCACCCTTCTTTTGCTTTTTGAGACACACTTTTGCAAAGTGATTATTAGTTCCACAAGCTCTGCATGGTTTTCCGTAGGCAGGGCAGTGCTTTTTTGCCTCGTGCGTGTGCATTTTCCACAGTATTTGCATGCTATGGGGCTGTCTGTGTTCACCGTTCGTGGTGAATTACTCTGCCTCGATTGGTTTTGTCTGAATGTCTGCCATGCAACAGTGTGAACAGTATCAGCGTCGGTGCGTGGGGTTTCGATTCCCATTGCTCTCATTCTCATGTCAGTGACTTTGGCAGTGCGGCACAATTCAATGGCAGTTACTAATGTTAAGTCAGTCCATCATTCAATCCCCCCGTATTCACAAGTAGCGGATCTTTCTCTCAAACGGGTTACAAAGTTGTGTACTGACTCACCCTCTTCCTGTTTGCAGCTTCCAAAAAACGAACTGCTCGTAAATGACATTCCTGGCAGGTTTGAAGTAATCCTCCAATGCATCCAGTATAGCTTTTGCATCACCCTGTTGTCGTGCTGTGAGGGTGAGATTGTGCCGGTAGATATACCTGCTTTCGCTGCCCATCAAGCTCCTCAGAGTTGCCGCTTGGACCCCGTTGGGTTTCTCATGTACAGTTGAAGTCAGAAGTTTACATACACTTAGGTTGGAGTCATTAAAAATCGTTTTTTCAACCACTCCACACATTTCTTGTTAACAAACTATAGTTTTGGCAAGTCGGTTAGGACATCTACTTTGTGCATGACACAAGTAATTTTTCCAACAATTGTTTACAGACAGATTATTTCACTTATAATTCACTGTATCACAATTCCAGTGGGTCAGAAGTTTACATAGACTAAGTTGACTTTAAACAGCTTGGAAAATTCCAGAAAATGATGTCATGGCTTTAGAAGCTTCTGATAGGCTAATTGACATCATTTGAGTCAATTGGAGGTGTACCTGTGGACGTATTTCAAGGCCTACCTTCAAACTCAGCTAAGACCTCAGAAATAAATGTGTAGACCTCCACAAGTCTGGTTCATCCTTGGGAGCAATTTCCAAACGCCTGAAGGTACCACGTTCATCTGTACAAACAATAGTACGCAAGTATAAACACCATGGGACCACTCTGCCGTCATACCGCTTAGGAAGGAGACGCGTTCTGTCTCCTAGCCTAGAGATGAACATACTTTGGTGCGAGAATAGAACTGTTTGGCCATAATGACCATCGTTATGTTTGGAGGAAAAAGGGGGAACTTGCAAGCCAAAGAACACCATCCCAACCGTGAAGCACGGGGGTGGCAGCATCATGCTGTGGGGATGCTTTGCTGCAGGAGGGACTGGTGCACTTCACAAAATAGATGGCATTATGAGGAAGGAAAATTATGTGGATATATTGAAGCAACATCTCAAGACATCAGTCAGGAAGTTAAAGCTTGATCGCAAATGGGTCTTCCAAATGGACAATGACCCCAAGCATACTTCCAAAGTTGTGGCAAAATGGCTTAAGGAAAATAAAGTCAAGGTATTGGAGTGGCCATCACAAAGCCCTGACCTCAATCCTATAGAAAATGTGTGGGCAGAACTGAAAAAGCGTGTGCGAGCAAGGAGGCCTACAAACCTGACTCAGTTACACAAGCTCTGTCAGGAGGAATGGGCAAAAATTCACCCAACTTATTGTGGGAAGCTTGTGGAAGGCTACCCTAAACGTTTGACCCAAGTTAAACTATTTAAAGGCAATGCTACCAAATACTAATTGAGTGTGTGTAAACTTCTGACCCACTGGGAATGTGATGAAAGAAATAAAAGCTGAAATAAATCATTCTCTCTACTATTATTCTGACATTTCACATTCTTAAAATAAAGTGGTGATCCTAACTGACCTAAGACAGGGATTGTTACTAGGATTAAATGTCAGGAATTGTGAAAAACTGAATTTAAATGTATTCGGCTAAGGTGTATGTAAACTTCCGACTTCAACTGTAGACCGGTCGCCAGTGCATAGTCCTCAAATTCATCCCTGAAGTTCTCCCAATTAGTATTCCAGTCCCCTGTGAGAACCATGGGATTTGGTGGCGGAATGTTCGCTGCCATAGCGATGGAATATGAGATCTCTTTGCCTTCAGCCATCGAGGTAGGTAGTGATGCTGGCTAGTCAGCTAACAACGAGTTGATCAGTGTTGTGACTAACGTTAGCAGTAGGAAACGGCGTGTGTTCGCATATGGAACGTAACTGTGCCTATACTGTACTTAGCTACAGAAAAAACAAACGTGTGGTTTTCAAGCCACTTCTGATACCATTGCATTCATTCAGTATGATATGTTGGATTAAAGAATAAAGACAGACACAAATGTCAAGTTCAATAGCCTTGTTCAAGCAATTGTACAAGTCCCTACGTACGGAGTCCGGGGAACAGCCCAGCTAGTCGATTACCTATCAACAGTGAATAGTTGACTCAAAGAGAGAGAAAGATAATAGTTGAACAGTTTTGAACAAATACATTTCTTCAAAAATAGAGAGAGAGAGAGAGAGAGAGAGAGAGAGAGAGAGAGAGAGAGAGAGAGAGAGAGAGAGAGAGAGAGAGAGAGACGAGAGAGAGAGAGAGAGAGAGATAGATTATTTTTTTCCACTTTCACTTAGCTAGGTAATGCAGCTAGCTAGTTTAACCTACTCAAACACTTGGCTCAAATAGAGGGATGCTATGTTAGCTAGCTGGCTATGACTATCCAACACTGGAACTCTTCCAGTCAAGGTAAGCTTTTGGTTTTATAAATATATTGTCCACCGGGGTCCACCGGTGTAACTGCTAAACTGCTCTCTGACTGTACACTGTACTGCGTGATTGTAGCGGGTTTACTAACGCGTTACTTCTAGTAGCTATGTTGTTGACTTGACTTTAGCGGTTTGCGGTTATGATATGAAGGTTTGGCTTGGAACGTTTTTTCGCCTGGTCACAGACAGCTGATGTGTTGTGCACTGAAGTCCACAGGCGAAAGGAAACTGTGAGAGGAGAAGAGCGCATAGACGCGAGAAGGAATTATACAACAAGCAAATTGATCATGCTGTTGGTATGTGGCTGCTATGAAAGTGAACTGTGTTTGTGTGTGATCAGGGGTGCATTCATTCCGCCGATTCTGTTTAAAAAACTTTTCTTAAATGCAAGCAAACAGAACAAAATGAGGATAAACATACCAGAATTTGTCCAATAGAAGCTCTTGTTTGCAACTGTTGGACTAATGATTACACCCTAGATCAGCTAGATGCAGGCAAGAGTGTGCAAGGCGGTATTGAATGTGTCAATGTCTGTCTCCTTGATTACTCAAATGTCTCTCGACCTGTGTGCACCTACGTTGTTAACTTTCATTCGTAGGCTAGGATGTGGCAACCTCATGATGGGTATAGGGAAAATTCTAGAATCATGTAGTAAGTAGCCTAAACTTATCCATGTTACATTGAGCTGTGGATGTGAATGGAACGTGAGCGACAGTCATCCAATATGCTGTAATAGAAATAAGGCCATGCTCATAAAAAAATGTACATATAAAATGTGTCCTCCCTCATGTTAAACGGCACCGACCGCCACTGGAGGTTATAGGCCTGAGTCCTGCAGATAATGGGATGTTGGGAAAGCCCTGGAATGGAAGGGTGTGTCCAAGTACCATACGGCCTATAGCCTATAATTTACAAGTCAGACTGCAGACCTTAGGGGTCAGTGACTGAGTGACATCAGCTTCAGCTTTACATCTCATCTGGGATTCATTCCTGACCCAGTTGCAGAACTTTCTAGACACACCCTAACAGCTGCACTTCGGTGGTCAATGTCTATTTGGGATATTTATTCGCGCTGTCATGTCCATGGGTGTGGTGCTGTCGCTGAATAGTAGCCTAGACTAAATAATAATACAAAAGTAACCCGTATGACAGATTGACAGTGGCCCTGTCCTAAGTGACTGTTCGGATGACATCATCATACCCGTGGGACCACGGAGGGCGCGCGCACTGCAAATCAACACTGCCTCTGCGCACATACGAGCGCTGTGGCTCTGACTTTTTATAGGGAACAGGTTGCTGGAACACACAAACGCGAGAAATGTTATCAGCCTTCATTATCTGGTTGCTGCGTTTCTTCTTTTGAGGTAGGCTACAGCAGTCTGCGAAGGAGATGTGTCGATAGAAACCCATGGCAGAGATTCTAGAATCATGATTATATGAGGAAAAGGAGAGTCGGATGCACGCACGACCGAATCCACCGTCACGGAAAGACTGGAAAAATATAATATATAGGCTGTAACTCACGAGCGAGGTGCCAGGCGGGCACCAGTGTTGCCTAGCGCCAGGCTACTTTGCGCCACAATAAGAAAACAGGGGATGCACGAAAACAGTGAAGACAACGGGTGCACGATGCAGGACTGAATCGATATATTTCCCCTAGAATAACCAGACAGACGTTGGGTCGACTTGGCTATCATTTCAGTGTAAAGCGCGTCGAATAAGTAGTCAAATTTATTATCGAGAAGATGAGTGTAAGCCAAACTGGGTATGATGGCATTTCTAGAGTGGATGGTGGCACGGTAACGGGCGGCCTCAACATCAGTGGTACCCCGAAGCTGCAACAGTGCGCTCAGCCTCCCGGTAATCGACCCAGGGATGCCCGGTTCCAGCAACACGGCGGGCGGCAGCACCAGCACGGTAGCACGGCTGTCAAACCGCCTAATTCCGAACGGTCCGAACCCGCGGACGTTGTGAAGCGCGCCATTGACTTCAAGACTCAAGGCACCCAGTGCTACAAGGATAAGAAGTACCGGGAAGCGATTGGCAAGTACCACCGTGCTTTATTAGAGATGAAGGGGTTGTGCCGGGTGCTGGGAGACCCCGATGCCAGCTCTAAGTCTCCTTCCTCGGTGCTGCCTACTATGAGCAAGTCAGACAGCCTGACAGACGAGCAGAAAGGTGCCATGGAGAACGCCGAGCTGGAATGTTACAACAGTCTGGCAGGTATGTGATCATCATTACATGATTTTTTCTATTGTCTTTATATAAAGAAATGATGGTTCTATGTAGGCCCACATATTATAGACTGCAGACCTAATGGTTTATGAATGCTTTACAACATCATCACCACCATCAACATCAACATCAACATCAACATCATCATCATCAACATCATCATCATCATGTCCATCATCATCATGTCCATTGTCCACCCCGCCATGGTTAATTGTAGGCCTATTCTAACGTTAAACGTGGTTGAAAGATCATCTCTGAATATGCACCTGCGCTGCCTGATATTCTGCCAGCGTTTCCAAATGCCTCTGCTTAGAATTGTATTAAGGCCTGCTGTCAAGTTTAGGCATGAAGATTGACAAGATCGACGGTTACATTTATACCGTTTGTAGCCAGTTAGACCGAATTCCTGTTTGGCCAAATTGAAATGAATTGTCTCAATTCTTGTTTTAATACAGTAGTGGTGCGTGGGTAAAATCACTGGGGAAGCCAAGCCAGGGAAAAAAAAACCACATTGCTACCTGTGTTGTGATAATTGCGTTGTTTGCTCTATAACCTGTTAGTTCATATGCCTTGACACCGTGACCTAAAGGCCGAGACAATAAGAAGACACAGTGGCAGAATAAATTCAACCACACCTTTTTGTTTCATCACAACAAAACCCTAGAGCAACATCTGTCCGGTGAAGTCCGCAAAACATACAGCATGTCAACAAACAGTTACATGACCTACAGCGCGGCCAAGGAAGTTAATTCTTCCGACATTTTCGGACTACTAAACAACTACTGACTTAGAACCCGGAGACTTACGGCAAGTCGCAAAGAAAACAGGCGCTGCCTCCACCGTTCTGACATCATAATCACCGATGCTTAGTCTAATACAGTGACGACTAAAATATCTATTTAGTCCAATCAACATAAGCTAAATATGTGGCTGTCCATGTTACTAATTTCTGTGTGTGTGTGCAAGTAGAAAATACATGTTGACTCACCCTACTTGTAGAAAAATGCCATCCTACTCTTAAATGTTATAACACTAGTTTTTGTTGTCCAAGGCTACCTGGCTAAAATGCTTGTATGCTAGCCTAACTTCCTTTCATGGGCAACAATGCGCCAGGTCAGCTAGTTAACATTAGCCTACTACATCTAGCTACATGTTTAACTTCAATCCTCTCAGGCCAGGGGGCACAATGTATGAATTTATGGTTGGATCAGAATCGCAGTTATAATCATTGGCCAGTACGGAGAATTAAGTAAAACAAACCACAAGTCCAAATCCCTATCTCCAGCCATGGCTAATTTAGGAAAGGGCCAATTTTAGCTAGCTATCTATCTACCGGAGGACAATAACACAACGAGATGCAACAATTCAAAATGTTTCTGTAAATAACGTTTGGCTTTTGATGTGATTGGTGTGAAGCCAAATCCAAACTGGCTTCCCTTGATATTTTTATTTGGTGCACCAGGACTATTCCCAGCTGAGCTCGCTCAGTTTAGCTCAAAGCTGATTGGCTATTATTTTATACTTTTTTTTATCAAGGGAGACCAAATGCTCCACTGGCTTCCCTTGCATTCAACGCTACGGGCGACAATGGTGTCATACTCTTTCTGACCACACAGCATCAGATAGATGGGCTACACATACAGAGACAGAGGGGGCGCTGTTTCGTTTGGATGCTTTTCTCCGGTGATATACGTTCAGCCTCTTGCGAATTGATGGACATTATGAAACACAGAGAGACAAAATACATTATTTTGTATGCTTTTTTTTCCCTTGGTCAATTTCTTTGGGGGAAGCCTGGCTTCCCTTGGCATCCACTGTGTCTTTATCTCCTCCCAGCGTGCCTGTTGCAGATGGAGCTGGTCAACTATGAGCGTGTGAAGGAGTATTGTCTGAAGGTGCTGCGTAAGGAAGGGGACCACTTCAAGGCTCTGTACCGCTCTGGGGTGGCCTATTATCACCTAGGAGACTTCCACAAGGCCCTGCACTACCTCAAGGAGTCCCACAAACAGCAGCCAACAGGTGAGGATTAGGCCAGCTAGTCTGCTACCCCCTATGCACATTTCATATATTATTCAATTTGATACATAATAATATAATAATAATAATATGCCATTTAGCAGACGCTTTTATCCAAAGCGACTTACAATCATGCGTGCATACATTTTTTGTGTGTGGGGGGTCCCGGGGATCGAACCCACTACCTTGGCGTTACAAGCGCCGTGCTCTACCAGCTGAGCTACAGAGGACCACATCATTTTGAAAAAAAATATATGTGTTTCTTTGGAATTCGAAAAAGCTTCTTTCTTTACAGAAGTATAGTTGAGACGGGTACATTCTGTTGAGGCGATCAATAATTATAATGGAATTGAGCATGGAATTCATTTGACAGTGACCTCAAATTTACCTGGATGTCAGCAAAGCAATTGGATGGCATTTTGGCTCCCCCCCAACCAGATTGATAGATTTAAAACCTATAACTCAACTGGCAAGAGTTGACCCCTAACAACTCAGGGGTTTTTAATCAACATTTATAACTCAGTTGATGTAATGTAAGTAAGCATTTCACTGTAATGTCTGCACCTGTTGTATTCGGTGCATGTGACCAATACAATTTGATTAGATTATATTTGATGTTTCCTTTCCTGCGGTAAAGCATAATTTTTCTGTCTTTTGTATTCCAGACACCAACGTTCTCCGTTACATTCAGCTGACTGAGATGAAAATCCGTCGTTCTGCCCAGAGGGAGAAGAAAGAGGCCACATAAACAACCAACTCGCTGTCTATTTGATAACTAAGGCTTTGTCCTAGATGGCACCCTATTCACTATGCATTGCACTTAGGGCTCTGGTCAAAAAAGGAGTGCACTGCATAGGGAATAGGGTGACATTTTGGGACGTAACACACCTAACTTTTCACTCAACGTCAATTTGTACTTTCTTCATGCGCAACTCAGACCGATACAGGGTCTTGGTGTTTTAAAGGATTTATATACAGTGAGGGGAAAAAGTATTTGAGCCCCTGCTGATTTTGTACGTTTGCCCACTGACAAAGAAATGATCCGTCTATAATTTTAACGGTAGGTTTATTTGAACAGTGAGAGACAGAATAACAACGACAAAAATCCAGAAAAACGCATGTCAAAAATTTTATAAATTGATTTGCATTTTAATGAGGGAAATAAGTATTTCACCCCCTCTCAATCAGAAAGATTTCTGGCTCCCAGGTGTCTTTTATACAGGTAACGAGCTGAGATTAGGAGCACACTCTTAAAGGGAGTGCTCCTAATCTCAGTTTGTTACCTGTATAAAAGACACCTGTCCACAGAAGCAATCAATCAATCAGATTCCAAACTCTCCACCATGGCCAAGACCAAAGAGCTCTCCAAAGATGTCAGGGACAAGATTGTAGATCTACACAGGGCTGGAATGGGCTACAAGACCATCGCCAAGCAGCTTGGTGAGAAGGTGACAACAGTTGGTGCGATTATTCGCAAATGGAAGAAACACAAAATAACTGTCAATCTCTCTCGGCCTGGGACTCCATGCAAGATCTCACCTCATGGAGTTGCAATGATCATGAGAACGGTGAGGAATCAGCCCAGAACTACACAGGAGGATCTTGTCAATGATCTCAAGGCAGCTGGGACCATAGTTACCAAGAAAACAATTGGTAACACACTACGCCGTGAAGAACTGAAATCCTGCAGCGCCCGCAAGGTCCTCCTGCTCAAGAAAGCACATATACAGGGCCGTATGAAGTTCAGAAGAGAACTGGGTGAAAGTGTTGTGGTCAGATTTGACCAAAATCGAGCTCTTTGGCATCAACTCAACTCGCCGTGTTTGGAGGAGGAGGAATGCTGCCTATGACCCCAAGAACACCATCCCCACCGTCAAACATGGAGGTGGAAACATTATGCTTTGGGGGTGTTTTTCTGCTAAGGGGACAGGACAACTGCACCGCATCAAAGGGACGATGGACGGGGCCATGTACCGTCAAATCTTGGGTGAGAACCTCCTTCCCTCAGCCAGGGCATTGAAAATGGGTCGTGGGTGGGTATTCCAGCATGACAATGACCCAAAACACACGGTCAAGGCAACAAAGGAGTGGCTCAAGAAGAAGCACATTAAGGTCCTGGAGTGGCCTAGCCAGTCTCCAGACCTTAATCCCATAGAAAATCTGTGGAGGGAGCTGAAGGTTCGAGTTGCCAAATGTCAGCCTGGAAACCTTAATGACTTGGAAAAGATCTGCAAAGAGGAGTGGGACAAAATCCCTCCTGAGATGTGTGCAAACCTGGTGGCCAACTACAAGAAACGTCTGACCTCTGTGATTGCCAACAAGGGTTTTGCCACCAAGTACTAAGTCATGTTTTGCAGAGGGGTCAAATACTTATTTCCCTCATTAAAATGCAAATCAATTTATAACATTTTTGACATGCGTCTTTCTGGCTTTTTTTGATGTTATTCTGTCTCTCACTGTTCAAATAAACCTACCATTAAAATTATAGACTGATCATGTCTTTGTCAGTGGGCAAGCGTATGTCACGATCGTCGGATATAGAGGACCAAGGCGCAGCGTGGAAGGTGAACATACTTATTTATTAAATGATACACGAACAAAACAACAAATCGATACGTGACGTCCACAGGTGCAAAACACAAACCAACACGGAACAAGATCCAACAAACACTGTGGGAAAAACCACCTGACTAAATATGGTTCCCAATCAGAGACAACCAGCAACAGCTGATACTCGTTGCCTCTGATTGAGAACCACTCTGGCCAACATAGATATACAAAAACTAGACTAGACACAACGAGCACAAAACATAAACTCTACACACCCTGGCTCAACATAACAGAGTCCCCAGAGCCAGGGCGTGACAGTACCCCCCCCCTAAAGGCGCGGACTGCGACCGCGCCTAAACATCACCGAACAGGGGAGGGCTGGGTGGGCATTCCTCCTCGGAGGCGGTTCCGGCTCCGGGCTTGACCACCACCCTCTACTAACCCCCCCGTAGTGCCCCTGGTCTGGTCCAGCCCCACTGGCTGGAGCTGGACTGGACTTCGGTGGAGCGGATTGCTCCGGTGTGGAGCAGCTGACCGGTACCTGACCAGGCACCGGTGAAACGGGCATGGGCTGGCGATGCGCACCACAGGTTTGGTGCGGGGAGCAGGAACAGGCCGGACCAGGCTGGCGACGCGCACCATTGGCTTGGTGCGGGGAGCAGGAACAGGCCGGGCCGGGCTGGCGACGCGCACCACTAGCTTGGTGCGGGGAGCAGGAACAGGCCGGACCGGGCTGGCGATGCGCACCACAGGTTTGGTGCGGGGAGCAGGAACGGGCCGGACCGGGCTGGCGACGCGCACCATTGGCTTGGTGCGGGGAGCAGGAACAGGCCGGGCCGGGCTGGCGACGCGCACCATAGGCTTGGTGCGAGGGGCAGGAACAGGCCGGGCCGGGCTGGCGACGCGCACCATAGGCTTGGCGCGATGGACAGGAACAGGCCGGACCGTACTGGGAACACACACCACTGGCCTTACACGGGGATCAGGAACGGGCCGGACCGGACTGGCAACACACTTCAGTACCTCTCGCCGTGCCTCTACATTTTCCTTCCCTCAATACACCAATGGCTCCCGTAACCCGGTGGCCTTCTCTCCTCGTCCACCAACTCGCCCCTTATCTGCCTCCAGTGGCCCCGTCGTCCCTGCCATGTGCCCCCCCCCTAAAAATTTATTGGGGGTGCCCCTCGCCTGTCCGACGACTGCCCGGTTGGCGCCGCTTCTCCTCTCCTGCCTGGGCACGCTGCTTGGTCCTGTATTGGTGGGATCTTCCGCCACGATCGTCGGATATAGAGGACCAAGGCGCAGCGTGGAAGGTGAACATACTTATTTATTAAATGATACACGAACAAAACAACAAATCGATATGTGACGTCCACAGGTGCAAAACACAAACCAACACGGAACAAGATCCCACAAACACTGTGGGAAAAACCACCTGACTAAATATGGTTCCCCAATCAGAGACAACCAGCAACAGCTGATACTCGTTGCCTCTGATTGAGAACCACTCTGGCCAACATAGATATACAAAAACTAGACTAGACACAACGAGCACAAAACATAAACTCTACACACCCTGGCTCAACTTAAAAGAGTCCCTAGAGCCAGGGCGTGACAGCGTACAAAATCAGCAGGGGATCAAATACTTTTTTCCCCCTCACTGTAGATCTGCTTTAGCCTTGCACCGCCACTTTATCCATCTTCTTATGAGTAAATGTCAACTATTGTTTACAGATACAGAATATACTATATAGTGTATGCAGATACAGAATATACTATATTTTGTATACGGATACATACAACTGAAATGGTGCAGCTGCCAGCCTTTTTGGCGACCATCTCCAAAGTTTATGTGCAGACATTACAAAGTTGCTGAAGGTGATATATAGTTGGATATGCACTTCACTGCCAGTCCAAAGAGTAGATAAGGGTAACAACACTTCTGATGGAAGTCAAAGTAACAGATTCCACTGAATGAAGCACGTGGCCTGTGACTGGCTAAGTTAGCGCCTGCCTTCCTTCCTTCCTTCCCTCCCACACACAACATGTAACACCTCCCGCTGTCAGCCCAGGATTCAATCCAATCGCGCTTTGTCCGCTATGCATGTTTTAAAAGGCGATGTGTCTGCGTTCACGGAGATCGCGTTCACGATAAACGCTTTATATGTCGGCTTAATCTGAAATGATCTTCAAATGACGGATTGAATCCCGGCCTTAGAAATTGAGCCAAAACCAAAACTTGTGTTCTGTCTTTATAGATTATTGAGATTTGTACATTTTTGGCAAGACGTGTTGGTAATAACTATTACCTATGATAGATCTATGAAGACTCTATTTAGAGAATAAAAAATTAAAAAATTGGTTATAAGGGCACATACACTGACCAAAAATATAAACGCAACATGTAAAGTGTTGGTCCCATGTTTCATGAGCTGAAATAAAAGATCCCCGAAATTTTCCAAACGCACAAAAAGCTTATTTCTCTAAATGTTTGTGCACAAATTTGTTTACATCCCTGTTAGTGAACATTTCTCATTTGCCAAGATAATCCATCCACCTGACAGGTGTGGCAGATAAAGAAACTGATTAAACAGCAGGATCATTACACAGGTGCACCTTGTTCTGGGGACAGTAAAAGGCCACTCTAAAATGTGCAGTTTTATCACACAACACAATGCCACAGCTGTCTCAAGTTTTGAGGGAACGTGCAGTTGCCATGCTGACTGCAGGAATGTCCACCAGAGCTGTTGCCAGAGAATTTAATGTTAATTTCTCTACCAAAACCGCTCGCCCAATGTCGTTTTATAGAATTTGGCAGTACGTCCAACCGGCCTCACAACTGCAGACCACATGTATGGCGTCGTGTGGGCGAGTGGTTTGCTGATGTCAACGTTGTGAACAGAGTGCCCCATGGTGGCGGTGGGGTTATGGTCTGGGCAGGCATAAGCTACGGACAACCGAACACAATTGCATTTTAATGATGGCAATTTAAATGCACAGAAATACCGTGACGAGATCCTGAGGTCCATTGTGAGGCCCATTTTTTAAAAGATATCTGTGACCAACAGATGCAAATCTGTATTCCCAGTTATGAGAAATCCATAGATTAGGGCCTAATGAATTTATTCCAATTGACTGATTTCCTCATATGAACTCAGTCAAATCTTTGAAATTGTTGCATGTTGCGTTATATTTTTGTTCAGTATGTTTGCTAATTACAAGCTCATTGTTATGACACTTTATCAGAAAATAT